AAATGTAAATAAAAACCACAAGGAGGTATCACATCACACCCAATAGGATGCCTACAATGAAAAGAAAAAAAAGAAAAGAAAAGAACAAGTGGAGGCCAGGATGTGAAGAAATTGGACCCCGTGTGCACTACTGGTAGGGACATAAAATGGTGCAGCTACTGTGTAAGACAGTATGGCAGTTCTTCAAAAAAAGTAAAAGTAGAATTACCATTAAGATCCAGAGTCCACTTCTGGGCATATATCCAAATGAATTGAAAGCAGAGCCTTGAAGAGATGTTTATGCACCCATGTTCATAGCAGCATTATTCACAAGAGCCAAAGGTGGGAGCAACCCAAGTGTCCATCGATGGATGAGTGGATAAACACAAATGTGTTCTACCCATACAATGGAATATTATTCAGCTTTAAAGGAGGAAGGAAACTCTAACACAGGCTACAACATGGATGAACTTTGAGGACATTATACTAAGTGAAATAACCCAGCACAAAAAGACAAATACTGTATGATTCCACTTATATGAGGTACCTAGAATAATCAAATTCATAGAGACAGAAAGTAGACTGGTGATTGCCAGGAGTTGGGGAAAGGAGGGAAAAAGATTTCTTTAATAGGTAAAGAGTTTCAGTTTTGCAAGATGGAAAATTCTGGATATTGGTTGCACAACAATGGGAATATACTTAACATTACTGAACTGTACACTTAGAAATGCTTAGGATGGATTTTATGTTTATTTAGCACAATTTTTTTAAATAAAAAAATAGAAATCTTGACTTTTTATGTAAAATCTCCTGATTTGCAAATGTTGGCAAATGTCCTAAACCTATAGTTGCCTACCTAATGGCAATTTCCCCCTCTTTCTTAATAAATAGTCAAGTCCCAAATGTATCTCAGTGACCATCTCTCTACTTCCATGACTCAGGTAAATCCCGACAGGTTCAAGTCAATCATAGTGGTCTTATTCCTCTTGCCAGTGATGCATTTAGAGGTGAGTGTGTGACCCTGTTCTGACCAATAAGGTGTGAGGAGAAGTCTTCTGGAGGGTTTTAGAAAAGGTTTCTTAGCTCTGAAAATGAGACATAGTAGAGGGAAATGGCCCTATTCCATTTATGGACATTGGCTGATATCAGGGTAAGATGCCTGGAGCTGTTGCAGTAATTTTCCAACCAAAAGGAAGCCATAGGCAGACCTGCAAGATGGAAAGAATCTGGGGTCTCAGTGTCTTTGGGTTGGACATAGCCTTCTTGCCTCTAGACTTTTGGTGATATGAGATAATCCATCTGCTTACTGCTTAATCATTTTGAGTTGCATTTTAAAGGTTGAGGCTTACCAAATGTCCATTGACTGATGAATGGATAAAGAAGTTGTGGGATATATTATGTATAAAATATATATTTTATATATATATAAATATACATAATGGAATATTACTCAGCCATAAAAAAGAACGAAAGCTTGCCATTTGCAATGACATGGATGGAGCTACAGTGTATCATGCTAAGTGAAATAAATCAATCAGAAAAAGACAAATACCATATACCATATGATTTCCCTCATATGTGGAATTTAAGAAACAAAACAAGTGAACATGGGGGGGCAAAAATGAGGCAAGCAGCCATAGAACAGACTCTTAACTAGAAAGAACAAACTGAGGGTTGCTGGAGGAGAGGTGGGGGGGGATGGGGTAAATGGGTGATGGGCATTAAGAAGGGCACTTGTGATGAGCACTGGGTGTTATATGTAAGTGATGAATCACTAAATTCTACCCCTAAAAATAATATTACACTCTATGTTAACTGGAATTTAAATAAAAACTTGAAACAAAAACAAAAACAAAAAATAAAAGTTGAAGTTTAGAAGATCATAAATTATATATTATACAGAGGGGAAAAAACATGTGGATCAAATAAAAGAAGTCTTCAATGAAATCTGACCCAGAGGCAGGCAATTTACTACCCTAGGTTTATCCATAACCAGTTACATTAACACTACTTCTTATGGAAGTTCTCCCCGCATTGTTCAAACTAGATCAGAGCCCCTACCCTCCTTTTTCCCCCATGGTTCAGGCTTCAGAGAAGGCCCCAGTCATCTCTATGTCCCACATCAAGCATCGGACTGTAGTGATCTCCTTAAAGACTTCCATGGTATTTCTGTTGAATAAGCTCAATCATGTTTGCATCTCTGGTTGCCTATTTCTGGAAGTTGCTCTTGCAACTGCCAGCTCTGCAACTGTTGGACTCAGCAGCCATCCTATAGAATATTATCCCTTTATTAGTCTTTGATATGAAATCTGCTTTTCATATATCAACAGAACTACCCCAGCTTTGACTCCTGTTAGCATATCTTTTTCTATCCTTTTTACTTATTTGTATGCTTATATTTAAACTGGGTTCCTTTTAGGCAGCATACAGTTAGGTCTTTTCTTTTAAAATCTAATCTTGTTAATCTAATCTCTGCCTTTTATTTGCAGGAGTCACTTTCTAGTTTACTGATCTAAAAAGAAAAGAAAAAAAAAATTCACCCATCTTTCTGCACCTAGGAATTTTTTTCTCTAACACAACATTTGAAAAATAGTTGTCATTCCTTACATACACTTTCATGGGTATAGCAGGGGTTTGGAAAGTGGCAGTGCTTGGCAAGAATGCCTGGGGTCTGGGATGGGGCACGTGAGAGCAAGAACTGCCAGTAGACTTTTGCATTAGTTCAGTAGGTGTAACAGAGAGCCTGAATTTCAAGGTCCTCTGGAAAAGTTCTTTCTGTTGAAAGAAGATACAGAAGTTGGTGACAGATTGTTTATAGTCACCAAGATTTCTCTTTTCTGGTCTCTGGGTAAGTACTAGTCACCCTCTTTACTGAAATTACGCAAAGCATAAGAAAGTTCAGAGTGTCTGAGCTGCTGCTGAGAACTTGGAGCATTTAGTTGGATCTTTCCTTTTATGGCTGAGGAAAAGGAAGTCAGAAAAGTGCCCTGGGTCATGCCTCTGGCTAGTGGTGGGCCTTGGAATAGAACCAAGCCCTTTCTGGATTTCCCGAAAGCCTGGAGAACTTTATTGGTTGAACGCTAACTTTGGTATTCTGCTTAAAGAAAATAAGATCTATTTAATTTCTATTCTTCACCCCCGTTTTGATTTGTGGCCCCACTCAGAGTCTGAGAAAAACAATGACAAAACAAACAGGGAAAAGCTTGTAAGAACAGTATGAAATACACAGATAGCAAAACAGATAGCCTGACAGAGCACTGGGACACACAGATAAGAGAACACAGTGAAAGAAAAGGAAACTAGAAAACAAGATTTTCAGGGAGGTGCCTGGAGTGTAGGGTTATTAGCCCCATCTTGTGGCCTTTTCAGAGACTGCCTCAGGTTAACTCTGGAATCGGTAACTGTTAACTCCAGATCTGATCTAGAACAGTGGACCTCAAGATTTAGTGTGCCAGGGAATCCCTGGAGAGTACGTGAAAATGCAAATACCTGGGCCTTTCTCTCAGAGAGGCAAGTAGATCAAAGCGGGCCCACGAATCTGCTTTTAGAAAGCTCCCCAGGTAATGCAGGAGGACCATGAACCATGCATAAGAAACACTGCGGAAGGCAGTAACTGGCGGTGTTCGTCCCCTTGGCATTGTGGGAAACAGGCTACTCTGAGGAAAAGTTTGGAAGACAACTGTCAAGAACTATAAAACAACTGAGATTTTGGGCTTTTGGCAAATTAACAAGTTAGCCCGTAACAGGTTCAAGAACGCTGGTAGGTGAGAGTCCAGGATCCCAGGGACAAAGAGCAGCTTATTACTAATGTTGGTAACAATAGTCCGAGAATTATCATTTGGGCCACTTTTCTGAGCCCTGATTCCCAGAATCCTGCGATGAGGGCCATGGCAGGCTGTCTTATAGAAGAGCAATTAGAAGCTCAGGGAAACAATCTCTAATAACGGAGATTAAGTCGGCCAGATCTTTGCCTGGAGGGAGACATTATTTGTTGTCCAAGGCTATTCACCACAGATACATCCTTGAAAAGATATCCCCAAAAAGGCAGTCAGTGCCTCTGCTCAACTACAGAAAAATGACACATGGAGAACTGTCTTCCAACAGAAGCCGGGAAAATGGACGTGTATCAGGGGAAAGGAATCCTACATCTGAAGGCTGTAAAGTGATCAAACTGAGGCACGAATGGGGAGTTGGGAAGAGAGTCAGGCCTGCTATAGCAGGTAGGAATTCAGCCTGGATTCTACTTCCCATAGCTCACTTCAAAGCAATCCTTACTCGTTCTGTTTAACCGGGGCCTGCCTGATGTAATGAGTACTTTCCATATTTATTTAATCTTAATCTTCACATCTCACGTAGACAAGTGATACGATCACCATTTTACTCCTTAGGAAATAGAGTTTGAAATATTGTGATCCGCCCACTTATGCAACCACGGGACAGACGGGTCTTTTTAGAGGTCTTCCCACTACCCGCTTCTCTCACCTGTTTCCTCTTTACTCCAGGGGACAGGATTAAGACTGGCCAAACTAAGTGAACAACGGAGGCAAGGGTGGGGGACAGATCTTTGCCTCTACTTCGGAACCAGGAAGTGGAGCGCTCGCTCTTTTCCAACCTCACGGACCAGAAATTTCCAGGGAGTGGTTGAGGAAGAGGCTCCTGAACTTCCTTTCGCATTTCAAATCGGAAATAGGTTTCCCGTGACACGGAAGCCCACCAGCACAACTGGGGAGTTTCCTTCTCCCTAAACCGGACCAGACCGCAGAGGACCGGCGAGGACCAGTGAGGACCGGCGGGGACCGCAGAGGGCAGGAATCCTCCCCGCTCTTCCGGGGTTTCCTGCGCCAATCGGAACTGGGGCGGAGCCTCCAGAGCGCGCCCCTCGCGATTGGGCGGCGCTGCTGTCGCTCAGCGCTCCCGAACGGAAGGGGCCGGGCGCCGCTCACCGCGGGGTCCCGGAGCTTCTAGGCGGGTGGGAGGGGCGGGAGCGAAAGTTGCGGGTTTGGGATCCGGCGGCCGGGGTGATGGAGCTGGGTCCCGCCGCGTCCCCCGGACCTTCCCGCTCCTTCAAGGAGGAGCTGCTCTGTGCCGTCTGCTACGACCCCTTCCGCGACGCCGTGACTCTGCGCTGCGGCCACAACTTCTGCCGCGGGTGCGTGACCCGCTGCTGGGAGGTGCAGGTGGCGCCCACCTGCCCAGTGTGCAAGGACCGCGCGGCCCTCGCAGACCTGCGCACCAACCACACCCTCAACAACCTGGTGGAGAAGCTGCTGCGCGAGGAAGCCGAGGGCGCGCGCTGGGCGGGCCACCGCTCCCCGCGCCTCTGCCGCCCGCACCGCGGCCAGTTCAGCCTCTTCTGCCTCGACGATAAGGAGCTGCTGTGCTGCTCGTGCCAGGCCGACCCCCGGCACCAGGGGCACCGCGTGCAGCCAGTGAAAGACACTGCCCACGACTTTCGGGTAAGAGCGGCAGCGTGCGGGAGGTGGCCGAGCGCGCACGTGGCGCCCGGGTCCGGACTGTAACTCAGCACCCCGGGCCCCTCGCGGCTCCCGCCACTGCAGCCTGCCAGAGCTGTGTGCCCAGGCCCCCGCCTGGTCCTGCGGCCAGGACCCCCAGCGCTCTGACTCGGCTGACCTACAGAGGGGTCGGCCCGGGGGGCCTGGGATGGGTGAAGAGGGATTGTAAACAGAAGTGTGGGAACTGAGGTTACACGATGCTCCCAAGACGGCCCCACCCACTTCTGAAGGGCTGAGGCCAGCACCCTCTATGCCAGCAGGGTGTGTGGCACGGGCCCGGTTGAGAAGGACAGGTGTGGGTAACGCCCAAGAATCTTGGAGCTTGGCACACTCCAGTTTGGGTGTGGGAGTCCAAGACCTGGCCTTAAAGTCTCCCAAAAGGGGTCACATATTTCCCCGAGCTGGCCCTCTGTGTTGGGTAGGAGTGGAGAGGCTTTTGGCATTGGCTGGCTGGTTTATTCTGGATCTCAGCACCCCAATGCCTAGAGTTTCTGTGGCTGTAAATAAAGTGAATGGAAAATACACCGAGAATACTTTGGTATAAGAAGGAAAAATGATCAGAAAATAAGGATTAGCCAACTTAGGAGTTCTCAGAATTTTTGACCTTAGCCCATAGTAAGCTCATGTTTTGACCTTAGCCCCTATTTTTTCCGTTGTGATCCGGAACACTCTTATGTATTGTATCACTTGAAACAAAAGTTCTGTGAAAATGTCTGTTGTACTCTGGCATTTTCTGTTATTTTATTTTTATTTATGGTTTTATTTAAAATTTGCAGAGGGTGTGAAACACTAATTTATTTCCTCACCTACTAACACATGGGTCAGACCTACTGGTAGGAAGCTGAGTGTATTGAAAAGGAGGCACTGTGAGAACCCCTAATGCCTGGTCTCCAGACACTGTTTTTGTTTTGTTTGTTTTAAGACCTTTCTTAAGAAATACTGAAAGTTGGTTAGAATTTCATACACATTTAGACAGAGTTCAGGTGAAGGGGAATGTCTTCAGTATGCATGTTTGAATACTGCAGTAGCTTACCAAGGGGATAACCCTATAACTCCTGTTGCCTTATTTGTTTAACAGTGGTCCACAACAATGCTTTTCCCCATTCCCACTGGCAGAAGTGCCAGGTCCTGATGTGGGACAGCTAAAGTAAGTGCATTCTGGGGGCTGGGGTCGAGGTAGGGGGGGCACCATGGATCAGGTCATGACTCATCACCATGGGGCTGTCACAGGTACAGATCAGGAAGATGGGCAGGAGTCAAGGCCAGGAGCACTAAGGCAGAACCCCTAGGTCCGGGCTAATCCAGGATTCAAGATTAGTGAGTCAAGTGCCAGGAAGCACATAGGGTCTAGTGACAACTTCCTGTTCCTTCAGCAGATGCCTTGTACTGCTTGGTTACAGGGGGACTGCAAGGCATGAGATAAACAGCAATTCATACCTTCAAGGAGCTTCAAGCAGAGACCTGAGGGATGAGGAGGTGTTAGCCAGGTGAAGAGAGCGAGGGAGGGTATTTCGGCCAGAGGCAGCAGCATACATAAGGGTCCAGAAGCTGGGAGGCCTGACTTTCTAGGCACTAAGAGAATTTCAGAATAGTTAAAATAAGGTTGGAAATGCAGAAGAAGCCATGAGGCCTGAGGCTTGGCCTTTATCCTAAAGACGGTAGGGAGCGGTAGGAGGGTTTTACGCAGAGGGATGATGCAGTCAGATTGATAAGCACCGAGGGCGATGTGGAGGTAGGGAGTCTAGTCCGGAAAGATCTGAGGAGAATGCAAGCCAAGTGTGTTCAGCCTGATGCAGGGTGGAACTCACTCAGCATGTTAGACAGCTGTGTATCAAGGACTTGTGTTGTGTTGTGTTCTGGAACCTGTGAGGGGTGCTGAGGCCGCAAAGGTAAGACAGAGCCCTCACCCTGTGGCGCTCACAGCGTAGCAAGGGAAGTCAGACAGTAAATAGACAAGTTGTTGTGCTGGCTGACTGGATGCAGAGCAGTGTGGGAGGGCCGGAGAGGTGAGAAGGGGCTGAAGGGGCTGCTGTCGTGTGCCGTGGGGAGCTCTGAAAGCTTTTAAATAGGGACTTTGTGGTGAGATGTGTGCTTAGAAAGATCACTTTGGCAACCATGTGAGGAATTCGACAAAAAGAGTAAATCATACCAGCCAGCGCTTTTGGAGCACTTGCTGTGTGCCAGGGGCTCTTGGCGTGTTTACCCGTCAATAAATTTAATCCTCACAAAACCCCCGTGAGGTTGTGTATTAGTTTCCTATCGCTGTTGTAATAAATTGCCACAAACATGGCAATTTAACACAGCACACATGTATTTTCTCACAGTTCTGGAGGTCAGAAGTCCTAAAATAAAGGTGCTGGCAGGGCTACGTGCCTTTTGGAGACTAGGAGAGAATTTATTTCCTTGCCTTGTCCAGCTTTTAGAGGCCCCTTCCTCCATCTTTAAAGCACATCATTCCAGCTTCTGCTTCTGTTATCCCATTGCCTTCTCTGACTCTACTGACTTCCTCTTTCTTATAAGGACCCTTTGATTGCATTGAGCGCATCGAGACAATCCAGGATAATCATCCATCTTAAAACCCATAATTTAATCACATCTATAAAGTCCTCTTTGTCATATAAATAATACATTCACAGCTTCTAAGCTCTAAGATATGGACATCTTTATTCAGCTTGCCACAGGTAGGTACTATTCTCCCCATTTTACAGACAGCGACACTGAGTCTCACGTTAGGTAACTTGTCCAAAGTCACAGAGCAGGTCCTATATAGAGTTCACCTGGAACCTTGTTGGGCCCCTACTCTGGTCATGGACTTTGAGAGAAACTTCTTTGGTCCCCAGGTAATACTTTCCCTGCTGGCCCTCTGTCCTGGGAGTTGTGAGGACAGCAGGTTACATGTGGGTATTTAAGAGGTTCGAGTGTATCAGATGAGGACCACTCTCCTACCGTGTGGGTCCCTACTATGTGCTAGGCACAGTATGTTCAGTAGAGGACAGAGGAGTCCTGGCCCCTGGCTTCTTGGAGCCAGATAGGCAAAATTTAATAATAATTGACTGACATTCCTGTGAGGGACACTACAGGAAGTGACAGATGGCTGTAACAAGGAGCCTGCTCTTGTCCGGTGGGAATGATTTCACAGAGACCTGAAGGCCTAGAAGGAGTTCGCTAAGTGAGGGGCAGCAAGCAGCAGTGGTGGGGCAGAGGGCAGGGAAGGCAGGAATCCAGAGACATCTGGACAAGGAAGGCAGGCGTCTGGAACAGATCCCAAGGGGCATCCAGGGCATGTTAGAGATCTGAGATTTTGTCCTAAGGACAGTGGGGCAAGAAGGGAAAGAACTGCTGAGCTATCCAGACATGCCATAAGGGTTGAGACCAGAGTGCTGAAGTGCATGTTGGAGCTTGAAGGGACAGCCTCTAGCACTTGTTTCTCAAACTTGAACAACGCACTCATTCTTCTTAATGGAAAAGCTGTTCCAGCACTGTGACTTAAAATATATTCCGTACATACAAACACTAAGCTAGCGTAAATTCCTCTTGCTTATTGCACATATAGGCAGTAAAACAACAACAACAGTTTACAGGTTAAGCACAAAAGAAAATCCGTTCAATTCTAGTTGAAATATTCATCACCAGGCTTTATTTGGCTGAAACGAAAGCACTGCTCTGGGCGGCTGTGAGGCTTGTCTGACAATGCTTGGGATACTCCTTTACCCTCTTCTATGTGGTTCCTTGATTTGCTAGTCTAAATTTTCCTCTTTGCAGATCCGAAACTTTTCCTGGGATACAATTGGCCTTCATTTAGATCTAGCACATTCTTTACTCCTTCACAAATTAAGTGTACTTCCGTTCTATCGTTATTAGGCCAAGACAATGAAAGTAGTATAGTTTGGTGTCGAGGTAGTTGTTAACAAATACGAATGCTGGTACTGAAGTTGTAGGAACTGAAAGCGTGTGTCCACACTGTTTATAAGGCAACTTGGAAAAGGTTTACCTCAGGTTTGTTTGTTTGTTTTTTTAGGTTATTGAATGAAAACACTAATTGAAAACTCTTGTAGAAAACTTGCAGGTCCCCAAACACAGGCCCAGAGCCATGGGGCACTGTGAGGAGATGGTTCTCTTTTACTAGTGAGAAAACAGAAACTTGGAGGAATGCAGCAACTCCTGGCATTGGCAGGGAATGGCAAGGGTACATCTAGGATTAGAACTCAGATTTCCTGACTCCCCGTCTGGCGTTTGCCCTGCCTTGCATCATCAAGGCAAGCCTGCCCGAACTCCTGCCAAGTCCCAGGCCTGGAACTGCCTTGTCCAGACCCCTTTCTTACCCATCCCATGGGACTCACATGAGAGTCATTCCCTGCCCTCCAGCCTCCTCCTGCACCAGCCCCAATCCATTCCCCTTCTGGGGCTCTTAGCATCAGTCTGGCCAAATCTTACCTAGGAATGTTCCATGTTTTCCTTAAGTCTCCCCCCCTTTTCCTAACTATGCACTCCCAGTTGGATCCCCCCCCTTACGGACCAGGCACTACCAGGTCCAAGTTAAATGGACATTTTACTGCCTGCTTGGTAAGGCATGTGCCCAGGGGTGGGGGCTTACTGAACACTGCTTACTGAGGCTCCTGAGTTACCGGACCCCCACACTAGGCACTGTAGTGGACACCTGCTTCATGAGGAGGACTGAAACACCATGGGGAAAGGAAGAATGGGAGACTGGGTTGTGGTTGGATAAGAAAGGGATAATGGATGAGATGAAGTTGTCTTGGATGCATTTATGCTATCCTTTTAAGAAACCTGGAGAATGGCCAGTAGGAGAGTTAAATTACCCACCACTAAGTGGCACCTAATAGGAGTGAGAGCCAACACAGGCCTGGTGTGCTCTTGGAAGCACCTTACATAGATTGGCTAGTGGGAACCTCTTAGCAATCCTGTGAGCTAGGCAGTCTCAT